TTCTTCCCGTCCCGTGACCCTTTTACTTTCGCCCCCCCTCGCCTCCCCTTCTTATTCCAACCGGCCGTGCCCCCGTCCCCCGTCCTCCGTGCCCCCCCCTTGGCTTTTATCCGACCGACCGTGCCTCCTCCCGTGTGTTCGTCCCGTGCCCATGGTTCATTCCGACCGACCGTGCCCCCATCCTCTCCCTGCTCTCCGCCCCCCCTCCCCTCCCCTTTCCCCTCCCACCTCGCCCCCCCCCCTGGCTTATTCCGACCGACCGTGCCCCCTCCCTCTCCCTGTCCCGCGCCCCCTGCCCGTCCCGTGGTTTTTTGTTGCCCTCCCCCCCTTTTTTTTTCTTTGCTTTCCGCCACCCCACCCCTCCCCATTTTCCCCCCCCCCTCGCCCCCCCCCCCCTTGCCCCTTGGCTCATTCCGACCGGCCGTGCCCCCTTCTCCTATCCAGTGCCCTCTCCCCGTCCCATGGCGTTGTTGCCCGACCGTGCCCCCACCCCCCCGCCTTCTGTGTCCCTCCTGGCTTATTCCGACCCGCCGTGCCCTTTTGTTGTGTGTCTGTCCCGTGCCCCCCGCCGTGCCCCTTTGTTGTGTGTCTGTCCCGTGCACCCCCCTTCTCCTATTCCGAACGTCCGTGCCCCCTCCTTTTCTCCTTGCTTTCCGCTTCCCTTCTCCCTGTCCCACGCCTTCCCTCCGTCACGTGGCCTTTTTTGCCCTCCGCCCCACGAGCGCCGCCCGCACGGCGTTGAGTAGCCGTGGTGCTACTACCGGTTCGTAGTAGCCTACATCCATAGTCGACCGCCAACGGTATTTCCGTCGCGTTTATATACTTATCCCTGCGACTACTGCGACCTACTACGACCAAACATACAACTACGTCTATGACCAGTAGTATTACTACTACTACGACTGCTACTCGTACAACTACACAGTGTATTGCTACTACTACTACTACTACTACAACTACTACTACTACTACTACTACTACTACTACTACTACTACTACTGCTATTACTACTACTACTACTGCTGCTACTACTACTACTACTACTAACACTACTAATACTACTACTACTACTACTACTACTACTACTGCTGCTAGTACTACCACTACTACTACTACTACTACTACTACTACTACTACTACTACTACTACTACTACTACTACTACTACTACTACTACTACTACGACTGCTACTACTATTGCTACTACTACTGCTGCTACTACTACTACTACCATTACTACGGCTACAGCTACTACTGCTACTACTATTACGATAGTTTCTATTACAACAATCGGTCCCACTAAGACCATCACCACCACTACTTCTACACGTAGACCCAGCACTCTTACTGCTACTACTACTACTGCTACTACTACTACTACTACTACGACTACTACTACTACTACTACTACTACTACTACTACGACTACTACTACTACTACTACTACTACTACTACTACTAGTACTACTACTATTACTATTACTTCTATTACGACTACTACCTTCCGCCACTACTGCGACTACTACTACTACTACTACTACTATTACTACTACTAGTTCGACTTCGCCTACTGCTTCTACTACTACGACTCTTCGTTTTACTACTACTACTACTACTACTACTGTTATTGGTCTTGCTACTGCTACAGCCACAACTACCACCACTACTACTACTACTACTACTACTACTACTTCTACTACTACTACTACTGCTGCTACTACTACTACTACGACTACTTCTACTGCTACTTCTATTAGTAGTACCAGTTTACCTTTTCTCTTACTACTTCTACTACTACTTCTACTACTACTACTACTATTACTACTACTATTACTACTACTACTACTACTACTACTACTACTACTACTACTACTACTACTACTACTACTACCACTACCACTACTACTAGTACTGCTAGTACTACTACTACTACTGCTCATACTACTAATACTTGGAAGTTTCATAAGTATTTTTCGGTGCCCTGTCCTCCTCCTCCTCCTCCTCATCTTCCTCCTCCTCCTCCCCCCTCCTCGTCGTGACCGAAGCCAGGATCGTCGGCAGTCCCTGCTTGTAAGCAATGCCGCGGCGACAGATGAATTCCAACTGGCTGTCGCTGCGGGCCGCTCGCACGTGCAGCGCGCCCACGCGCGGGGGGCCTCCCGAAGCTTGTATCCGGGAGAGTTCCACAAGAACACCGAGCGCAATTTGCGTACGCCGTGGCCGCAGCATGCTGTCCCGGGCGATCTGAAACGGCGTTGGGAGGTTCTCCGACGCCAACTGGCCAACGCAGCGCCCGGAACTTGCTGGGCAGCCTTCCGAACACTCGCGGGAGGATGGCCAACATCGCACCGGATGCACGCCGGCCAGCGCTGTTTGGATTGCCGATGGGGATGCGAAGGCGCATCTGACGACATGAACCACCACTTATTCGGCTGCCGCGGATCATGGTGGAGAGAGTCTGCGTCTCAACCCGGGCCTTGGCGCACAGCTCTGTGCTCCACCGCCTGGACTTCGAATACACGAAGAGTACGACCGTTTGGCTCGCTGCGATCACATAGAGAAAGGTTTGCCCCGGATTGTGGTCCAGTTGGCTACGCTCTACCTCACCTACTACTTGCTTGTTGCGGCGCCGCTCTGCTAGGCGCGAGGCCTCGCCAGCCACTGCCTTGGCGCTGGCGCGCGTGGCGGCCCAGCGTGTGAAGCTTCCCCGACCAACAACTACTATCATTTCTGAGTCTCGCGACTCGCCGCCTGTTTAGGCCGTTGTTGCGGGCGCACACCTCTGAGGTACCAGCGCTCCTCCTTCCCCGTCCTCGTCTTCGTCGTTGTCGCGGCGGAGACTATTTCCCTCTAGTTTTGGGCGGGCTCGATATTGTATGGGGGCTTTTCGTCCCGTTGAACAAAACATTGCGGGCTACCTTACATGCGAGAGTATTCGTGAGCGTCTTCTCACGTGGATATCAGGCAGAATCAGTGGTTGTGGTTGTCGTCGTGGTTATGGTCGTGGTTGTACTTGCGATGGCAGTCGCGATTGCAATCCCGAGTGTAGTCGTAATCGTGGTCGTCGTCGCCGTCGCAGGGGATACCATTGTTCCACTAACGCTCGCTGGGTTGGACCATGTTGTGGTTGTCTTTCTCGCAGGGAATAGAGGCCCCCCGGTCCACCCTTCGCGACAAACGAATTTTGGGCACGTTTGCAGTAGGACTGCGATATAGATCGGCGCATGCTTCGCCGAAGGCGTTGCTCACGATCTCCTCTTTTATCCCGTCGTCGTCGTCGTCGTCGCTGCGCGGCGGGTGCCGCGGACAATTAATTCGTTTCCTTTTATCGGCGGGGCCCAATCCGTCAATAAGGGCATCAAAGAAATAATTCTTGTCCGCTCTGGGGAGGAGGGGTCTAAAGACTTCTCGTGATTACTCTTATTCCAGGGCCCCTTTCGGGTTTCGGAACAAGATCAAAACACCCGCAGAGCCAGGCCAGGGTCCAAAGGCGAAGGGCACGGGGGGAAAGGGAACGGTGCAGCCAGCGCGAGTGCGCGGCAAAACCGAGTCGCAATCAACGCCAATCACGCAGCTCGATGTCCTGAGTTTGATACTCTGGGTTCAGCAATGGGGACCAGGAGGAGGAGGAGAAGAAGAAGGCAGGACTTGCGCGACAAACGGGAGCCTGGTCGCTGCCTGCCGCGTGGCAGGTGGGCATCGCCACAGTCCGTGCAGCGCGATCGAACCGCCAGTGGCCCTGACGGCAACATGTTGGACTATGCGGTTCCATGTGTTTCTCGGCCTTACCAACTTTCGGGGGCCGCTTCCCCTTGACAAGGCGACGGAATGTGGTCCGAGCGCGCAGCGCCGAACGGGGCGGCCGCCTGGAAGAATTGCGATCTTAGAATGCGAGATTGGCAGATCTGCAACACGGTCGCGTTGCAGACGCGGTGGCGAAACGAATGGCCAATGTTGGCCAACCGGCGCAGACATTGCGTTTGGAACGCGTCCAGCTTGTTACACTCAGACCCGCTGGGCCGCATCGTGTGGAGGCCGTTGGAAGTGGCAGCGAGACAGGCTTGCACGCAGTGGCGGATCGGCGTGCTGCCAAATTCTGGAACATGCAAGTCTGTGTGAAGCCCCTGCACGCCGTGCCCATCCTCCTGCTCAATTTCTCGCCGTCGGAGCCCAAAGGATCCAGAATTAGTATGAGCATTAGTATTCGTATTCATTTTCTTCTTATTAGTTTTCTTCTTACTATTCTTATTAGTAATATTCTTATTATTCGTATTAGTCTTCTCCTTAATACTATTATTATTATTCTTAGCATGCGGTCTGCCTGCGGGATTTGCCCGCCGTCGGGCCTGCGGATGTCCACGCTGCACCGCGCGGGCAAGGCTTCAAGCCTGCCAAAATCCACAGCCAGGTCGTTGCTCTTGCCTTGCCGCGGGAAGCCCCGGGACGAACAAAAACACGGGCCGTTTGGGCCGCTGGGAAGCGCCGCGCGGCGGCTTTGCCCCGTCGCCGCTTCCTCCTCCGTGGGCCCGCATAGGGCAAAATGAGGCCGAAATTGCGCCATCCATGTTGTTCGCGTCAGAAGGGCTCTGTATTGGAGCGGTGGTCATGGCCAACACGGGGCCACACAGCCCCGTTACGTCACGGGGCCAACACGGGGTCACACGCAAGCTGGCAACGCTCCCAAATCGAAGCGGCCAAATCCAGGATCAACCGCCCTGATTGCAGAGAGCACACAGTTTGGGACTTGAGGCTCTCGCTCTATCTGTCTCTCTCTCTCTCTTTTCTCTCCCTCTCTCTCTCTCTCTTTCTCTCTCTCTTTCTCTCTCTCTCTTTCTCTCTCAATTTTCTCTCGTCACGATATGTTCCCAACGTGGACCCTCGAAGGTCTCGACTCCTTCCCCGGGACTAGTTTTTCATCACGGACTTTTTTTGACGGTTCTGGAACCCGCTGAGGACTCCCGGGGGCCAAACATTGTCTAAACCCGTCCGCCTCTCTCCGAGGACGCCGTGGTCGCCCAAATTCGACCGTCACTTCCGGGCGCTGAACGCGGTCTACGCCAAGTTGAAGAGCTTCGGCCCTGGTGGGCGCTCCCGCAGCGGCAGCAGCCTCGGCAGCAGCACGCAGAGCTACGGCCTGGGCCTGCAGTCCGTGGGCTTCACGAACTGGGGCGCAAGGTCGGCGGTGGCAATGAGGCGGGCCCGGGCCTTCCCCTCGATCAGAGGAAGGAAAGGTACCCAAACCGCTGCCCTTCCCTCGTGTTCCCCTTCTTTGGGCCTCCTGGGAGTCCCTCGTCGCCACCGCTGGATTCGCCTCGAGATTCTGGTCAGAGTTCACCCCGGGAGAGATCCGGGGAGGAGCGGTACCGGTACCTTTTGATTTTCCAGTTCGAGTCGTGACAAAGTCGAGGCGCACAGAGTTGTGGCAATGCTGGGCCCGCCGGGGCCCTCAACGGGCTCCGGGGCTGCAAAAAGCAGAGCCCGTGATGAACAACAGAGACTTTTGGGGGTTCACGCCGGCATGACGTCGGGGGCCTCCGTCGTGCTCAGGGGAGGCAACTGTACCGAGGCAGCTGGTTATCCCAGAGAGCCTTCGTCGCCACGGCTGCCGTCGCCTCGGAGTTCTGGTCATAAGCCACCCTTGAAGAGGTCCGGGGAATAGGGGTGCCAGCATCTTGTTCATTACAATTTTCTCATGCGTGTTCAGCATCTCGTTGAGTTTTCGTGGGCTACCCCTCATGTCTGCTCGTCCTCCGCTTGGCCCTCCCTCCGTTGCCCCCCTTCCCGTCTCCGATCCCCCCCCCGCCTCGTCCCATTCCACCTTCCCCTCTAATTCTACACCTTCCTGTCATCATCTACTCCCCATTGCACTCTCTGTCTCACTCCTTGCATCTATACTCGTTCTTTTCTTATCAATGCCCTCGTCTCTTGGCTCTCCATCCTTGCGTTGTGCGGCTTTGTTTCCCGTGCTGTTGCCTGGCTCAACGTGGCCAGACCGAACAGTGACCCACGCGTTGCGATGTTCTGACCCATGTACGAAAATATCAATTTGCTCCCACTGCTCTCCGAATTTTACCCTGCGACAAGGCAAAGCAAAATCAGCACGACGCGATGCTCCCATGCACAGCGCCGCTACCGTGTGCCACCGACTTGCTGTGGTGGTTTGTAGCTGACAGTGGCGGTGCTGTTCTGCCTTTACTTGAGCGGGCGACACCCGCAAGACGGACACCGAATGCTTTTCAAACTCGGCATTGTCGCAGAGGTGTGGACGCAGCAGCTAGTGATGAATGACATGTTGCACACTCAGCTTCGCCCTCAATGCAGTAGTCACTGGTTGGTATCCACGATGGCAAGCATGTAGCTCTTTCGTCTCCCAAGTCATCCCAAGACTGATCCCCCGAGTTCATGCACAGCGCCAGCCTGGAACGGGGCAGCGTCGCGAGGCCCACCCCTAGGTTGCCAGAGCCTTCACGCCAGAGAGGACGGCTCCACGAAACCAGCAGCGAACATGATGCGATTTGGACGGGCGTTCAGGCACGACCACCATTGCATACGGTAGGTTCGCGTCGTGTTGAACGGCGGCGACCCCTCCGCTGGCGTTCAACCTTGGACGCCGCTGGCGACCCAGAATCGGTTTAGGTTGTATGATCTGACGTCTCGGAAACGGCCGATCGTTCCAGGTCGAACGACCCCCGCGGTGTCAGGAACCAGCGCTGGAGTGCTCACGACACGGACCCGCGGTAAGCCTGAGCTCCCGAGGCCCCCCGCAGATTGCTCGTGTCGGAGGCGGCGCGGCGCCACGAGATTGGCAGAAGCCACGACGTGACCAAGAAGCGCGCAGGCGGGGCCTGGTGAGTCGGACACGACGTTGCGCTACGGCTTCCGCGCTCTCTTTCTCTCTCCCTCTCTCTCTCTGTCACTGGGGCCGAGACGCCATAAAGATAAACTTTGGGCGCTCTGCGCGGCGCCGCCCCTGGCGCGCTTCGCGCGCCAAGGAGGGGGCTCCAGCGCAGATCCAAATCCGCACGGAGCGCCAACAGTTTCTGTTTGTTATGTCGTTGTTTCTTCTTCTAGCTGCGTCGTTCGCGCTTTCCTTGTTCTTTTTTTATATTTTTTTGTTTGTTCTCTCTCTCTCTCTCTGTCACTCGGGGCGCCCTGCCACGGCGCCAGGCCTAAAAGCACGCTTGCGCCCCACGATTTATGGAAACGACCCCAGCGCCGACCCCCAGGACCAACGGGGAGGCGAGCTTTGGCTGTCTGTCCCTCCTTCCCCCCTCATGCTGCGCCTCGGGCTCCCTTTGCGAATCCAGCTCGTTGTCACGCTTGCACCTGCAGCGCGATTAGATCTACGACGTTGTCTGCTGCGTGAGAGGTCGCTGTGGGGTTACGTTTCGTGTTCAAAACAAGCGTGTCGGGCAATGTTTGACGAAGTTCCCCTCTCCCTGTGGTCCCTCCTGTCTGCCGTTCTGCCTGGGTCAGCTAACTCTGGCACGCCTCATTGGATACTCCCATGGTTCCCTGTGGTACCCCTCATCTGGCTGTCCTGGCGACTTCCCGCAAATTCAAGATGAAGAACAGGCCTGGGAAACAGGGGCGTGTGAGGAGAAGGAAAGGCGGACGCGAGCTTCGAGAGGCGTGACGATGAGAAGCGCAAACGCTTGGCACAACCTACACATACTTGTGCTATGTGTACGTCGGTCCCGCAGGGGGCGACGCGCGCGATGCGACAACTTATATTAATGGGCCGGTCTCCAGTGCTTTCTCGCCGGAACGATTCGACAACGATACTACAATATTATTTTGCTATCGGTTCGGTTCGGATGTGCACCTCTGTGGAGGGCGCATCGCATTAGCGTGTCTGTCTGCGTCCTAAACAAGCGATGGCTTCCTGGTTCGCCACGCGCTGGCTGTTGAGACTCGCGCTTCATGAGGAGGTGGAGTGGTGGCAATGGGCAGCTGCTGTCTCGTTTACGGACTGTGTGAGTGAAGTAGGAGCCTCTGGAATGCCCCTTGCTCAGGAGGGAAGCATAGACACGGACACAACGAGCAGTCGATGCCCAACACATCTATAGGAGATAGTGGGGAAGATAGACATCCAGGATTTATGTAGCACGCATATATATATATATATATATATATATATATATATATATCCGTAGCCATTTTGGCTCAAGGCCAAATGGCGTATTCCTCAGATCTGCCTTCGCGGGGTAGGCTCCCATCCAGTGCTCCAGCAGCTTCCAAGTCCAGGTTCGCCCCTGGCGCCAGCCCCAAGTCCAGGTTCGCCCCTGGCACCCACATCAAGAAGTCCAGCTTCTCCCCTGGCATCCATATCTCAAGTCCTGGTCCGCCCCAGGCGTCCAGCACGCATCGCGAATGGCGTCTCATAGCGGAGCTGCTCCTGCTGGTCGCCCTGCTGTTCCTCTCCAACCCGCTGGTGCTGGAACGAATGCGGCTGGCGACCGACAACCAGATGCTGTCCATCAACACGACCCCTGGAGAGAGTCGGCCGCTCTATCCCGTGCTGCTGCCGAAGGAGTCATGAGGCCTCGTGCTGATGCCTCCCAAGCCTCAGCTTCCAATGCCTCAACATCCTCCGATCTCGTGGACCCCATGGACGCCGTCAACGCCGCCATTGCAGCATCGCAGGATTTCCTCACAGCCCACCTCGATTCGAAGCTGGCCTCGATCAAAGCAGAGATCATCGGAGAGTCCGCAACCCAGCTCAAGGGCCCCCTCGGCGCGGTGGTCGGGCAGCAGCAGCAAAGGAACGGGCCAGATCCAGTCCCTTCAGGCCACGTCATCGAAGTTCGAAGCGGAGCAAGCAGAAATGCGAGCTCAAATTGCTGAAATGCGACAGCGGCTATACATGCAGGAGGCACAGGTCCCCATCAAGGACTACGAGAACCTCATCGAATGGGACCGACCAGCAGACACCAGCATCATCGTGGGCACGGCCGCGGAGAACTTCTCGCTCGACGAATTCAAGGCCAGCATCCAGCCCATCATCGACAGGTGCGAGTTCGGCGACGCCGAATGGGAGGCAGTGGGCAGGAGCCCTGCGCGACGATTCATCATCCAGTTCAGTGGCGACGCGAATGCATCAGCTTGTCGGGCCCGCACCTTCTACAGCAAGCTCAAGGGCGCCGGCGGCGAGTGGCTCAACACGGTGGTCAACAGCGTACACGGACAGCGCACACGTCTCTTCCTCGGCCTCGACCGCAGTGGCAAGACAGCGAGGCGAGAGTTCCAGACCAAGAAGCCCACCCAGATCTGCAAGACCCAGCATGACACGCAGCGCTGGCGAGGCGACCGCCAGCAAGGGATCATCTATTGCAACAACCTGCCCACCCTCTCCATCTCTGTGGGAGCCACAAGGGATGGACCGACCAAATTGCTCTTCAACTACCAGGGCTGCCTCTCGCACGGCATCAACAGGGAGGATGTCCGCGCGAAATTCGAAGAGGTCTTCCAAACATCCTTGGACGCGCAGAATGTACAGTGGCAGATTTAACAAGACGCTGGCCCCCTGGCGCAGGGCACAGTCTAATGGCGCCATCACCTTCACCACCTGGAACACGCGAGCGCTCCTCTGCCAAGACCCGATCAAGCGCAAGAAGAAGGTCTCCCACATGCTGCAAGTGCTCAACTCCTCGTCGGCGCTGGCCCTGCAGGAGGTTCATGGCTCGGAGTCGGAGCTTGCCCACGCCCTTACCTAGGCCACAAGCCCGCGGCCATCTTCACCTCCATCCCTGTGCGGGGCACGGGAGGCGCGGCGATTGTGCTCCCTGGACTCGCGCAAAAGGAAGTGGCTGATTCTGACTGCTTCCGTCACTCGGCACCCGTACCTGGCCGCGTACAACGTCTCCAGATCAAGTCGGACCCCACGGGTGCACCCGAGGGCGCTCAGCCGTCCATGGCGGTGATCTGCAACGTTCACAACTTCCAGCTCACGCAGGGCCAGGTCCAGCGCACAGTGGGCACGATCAGGGCGGAGCTCAGCGCTGCAGAGCAGCAGCCCGAGCGCATCGCAGCCATGGTCATGGGCGGCTTCAACTTCATAAATGAGGCCCCGCTGGAGATGACGGCCCCGCTCGTCAACAAGGGGCTCCCGGGGCCACGCAACGTCCATCCAGAACATCAGCTTATTTGGGAGCAGGCGCTTGGCGACATGATCGAGGTGGACCCTGAGCTCCCCGCGCACTACGCTGGGCACTCCCAGCAGCGCACGCGCATCGACAAGATCTATACCAGCTCACCGCCGCGGCTATTGACACAATGGTGCGCGAAGATCGACATCCCCATGGCATCTGACATGCTGTATGATAAGGGCATATCGGACCACGCCCCAGTACGCCTACGCCTCTCAGCCCACGCCCGTGAAGATCGCGAATCGCAGCCAATCCCGCAGTACATCTTCGAACGCCCTCTCTTCATCAAGTACTGCGACCTGCTGGCCAGCCATGCCGACCTGGACAGCTAGCTACACGCCCTTTGTGCGCCTCCAGGAGGCCGAGCGCCTGATCCGCGAGGCGGCGCGGCTTGCCCGCAACGACCTGACGGACATGCATGCGCCGTGCTCGGCGGCAGCCCTAACCACTTGCAGGGCGATCTCGCGGGCGGCATGGCGAAATGACTGGCAGAGCGCTCGCGCGATAATGGCGCGCGCTGAGCTCGGCGACCAGTCCCTGGACATCTCCGGCCCGAACAACATCACGCTGATCGAGCCTGGCACGTTTCGCCGCGTCTTCGAGCAGCACCAGACATCGTCCGAAGACCAGCGCACTGAGGCCCTGCTGCAGGAGGAGTCGGCCGCTGACGCGCCCTTCCAGCAGCGCCGGCGGCTCCGCAAAATGAGGAAGACGATCCAGAAGCGTGGCAAGCTCTGGGCCCCAACGGGCAACACCCTCAAGCTCAAGGCTATCGAGGTGATGCATGACCACAGCTCGACGGAATCGCCTGCGGCCATGATCGAGGAGCTCCGACGGCAGTGGTCCCCAGTCTTTCAGGCGAAGCCGACCGAGCCACCTCATGCACGTAAAGCGCTACCTCGAGAAGCATATCGTCCCGCATGAATGCATGGACATGGACATTCCCACTTTGGGTATGATGAAGCACCTGATCAGCAGGCTCAACAACTCGGCGCCTGGGCCTGACGGGATACCCTACATGGCATGGAAGCGGATCCCCTCGTCGGCGCAGCTCATGCTCGACGTCACCATCGAGATCATGCAGGGCTACCCTGTCCCACTCACCTTCAATGGCTCGCTGATGATATTCACCCCTAAGGGGTCGGAGCCCGCTGACGAGCTTGGGGCGACGAGGATGGCGAAGGCAACTCGTCCCATCTCTTTGAAGAACACGGACTGCAAAATCGTCGCCGCCATGGGGAATGAGCTAATGGAACCGATCGTCGCCAAGGGGGCGCACAAGGCGCAGAAGGGCTTCTTGCCGCAGAGGCGCTTCATTGAGCACGTGGTGGCGATGGGCGCGCAGGCCCGCATCGTAGCCATGCAGTCGGACCCAGTGGAAAAGAACCCGCTTCTGGTGCTCTACGACTTCGGCGACGCGTTCCCCTCCATGTGCAGGGTCTGGCTGAACGCTGCGCTGGAGATCGCAGGTTTTCCGCGGGGCATCCGCAACGTGGTCGACGCGATCTACCTCATGCCCGTTGCCTTCACCAACCTCGGAGGAGCGCTTGAGGTGTTCTGCGCGCTGGCCTCGGGTATCCTCCAAGGGTGTCCGTGGTCGGGCACTCTTTGGGCCGTCGGCGTGGATCCGCTGATCAGGGACATGCATTCCCGCACGAGCCGCTACAAGGGCGCTGTCATCGGCGTCTGCGCGGATGATGTGGGCAGCGTTATGCCAGCGCTGAAGATGCTACGCCCCATATTCAGTGTCTTCTACGCGGCGGAGCTCTTGGCACGCCTGGTGCTCAAGACGGCGAAGTGCAAGATCATCCCGCTGGCGGACTCCTTCTCGCCGGTGGTCGTGGGCAGGGTGCGTGCCAAGATCGAGGCGCTGGTCCCGAAGTGGAGCGGCATGACGATCCCGGACATGGCTGAATACCTCGGGGTGCTGATGGGCCCGAGTGTAGACAACCTCGAGCGCTGGCAGAAAGTGGTGGAGGGCTGGCAGCGCACGACCAACCTTATAGCGGAGGTGAATGCCCCGACTTCGACATCGCTAATGCTCTACAACCAGAGGGCGGTAACCCAGATCTCCTACCTCAGCCAGCTGTTCCTGTGGCCGCCCAAGATGAAGCGCAAGGAGAGCTGGGCTCTTCACCGCATTTGGCACCTTCCTCCTCAGGCGTTGCCACGTGATGATCTACTACGCATCGGTGACTGGTCGCCCTCGCTGAAGGCGGTCTCGCTCGAGCTCAGCAACAGGGCTGCCCTGGTGCGCAGCGCCGCGGACTCGGTGAAGAACTGGCCGCACTGGGCAGCCAAACTCAAGGAGGCGGCGACGGTGGCTTTGCCCTTCTGCGTCCAGGTGCTGGGCACGCATGCGCCTCCGCACTGGCGCTCGCCACCGATAGCCCTCGCTCTGGAGGAGGCTGCAGGCGGCTTCCCGAGCGACCCGAACAAGCAGATGACCTCCGCGTGTGGCCAGACACTGAATGAGTGGCGAGCTGAAAGAGCTCGCCTGCTGGCTGACCGCCCCAATGCAAGTTTGCGCATGCAGAAGCACATCCACTCTCACCTGGTCCAAATTTCTCCCGCGTCCCCCTCCGCCCTCCCCAAAACCTGGGCGGGGGGATGGGCCACGAGCCGGCGCCTGCACACTCGTGACAAGAATGCGGGCGGCCCTTGTTTTCGGCTGCCTTCAGTGTGAGGCTCCTGGCGCATCTGATTCAATGTCTCATTATGTGCATTGTGCACACGTGTGGCACGCAGTTTGCACGGTGTGGCACGTTCGACTGGTGGCCCCATGCTCGCTCCCTGCTCGTCTGGGCCTTTGCAGCGGAGAATCAGACGAGCACCCCCAGCGTGTCGCGCTGGAACGTACCATCATTGCTTTTCATTTGTACAACATTCAATCGTCATTGCCCCCAGTGAAGTGGTCACTTCCTGAGGAGGCGGCGAACAGTGCCCGTGCTGCGAGGGCGCTCGTCCTTTCATCGCACAAGCCTGCTGCTCAATAGTCTGTTTGATTCATTGTGGCGCGAAAGCACGAGCGATATATATATATATATATATATATATATATATATATATATATACTCCTGGGGGCGAGGCCGGGGGCCCCAGGACAGGTGCCCCCACCCACCATGGCGGGACGGGGGCTCATTTTCCTTGTGTTTTTACAGGGTTTCCGCGTCCTGCGCCTCGGAGGCCGCCGCCTCCAACCCCCCATGGGAGGACAGGGCGGCCGGGGAGGTCCAAAATAGTCCAGGAGGGCATCCAGAGGCTCCCAAGACGGCCCAAGCGGGCCCCGAGTCGCCGAAAGACCGCTCCAGGACGCCCAAGATAGGCTCAAGACGGCCCGAGAGGCCCCCCAAGGCACTCCACGACGCTTCAAAACGCCCCTCCAAAGCGCTTGAAGAGGCCGAAATCGTTTATTTCATGAAGATTTTTGACACATTTTGCTTTTCCCGCCTTCTCAGCTTTCCGACGCTCCACGACGGCTCACAAGCCCCCCGCGGACGCCCCAAGAGAGCCCAAGAGGCCTCCAAGAGGGCTTGAAGACGGCTCTGGAGGGCCCCAAGACGGCCCAAAACGCGCTCAAGACGGGCGAAGAGAGCCCCAAGACGGCCCCAAGAGGGCTCCAAGAGGGGAGCTGCGAACCGGAAATTCGAGCCTCCCGCCTCCACAGGGCCCCGGGAGGCCCCAAAGGGGCCCCAAGAGGTCCCAGGAGACTCCCAAAAAACACCCAGCAGGCCCAAATGAGGCTTCAAGAGGCCCCCAAACAGCCCCGAAGAACCCCCGTGGGAGGACGGGGCGGCCGGGGAGGTCCAAAATAGTCCAGGGCGGCCTCCAGAGGCTCCCAAGACGGCCCAAGCGGGCCCCGAGTCGCCGAAAGACCGCTCCAGGATGCCCAAGATGGGCCCAAGACGGCCCGAGAGGCACCCAAAGGCATTCCACGACGCTTCAAGACGCTTCTCCACAGCGTTTCAAGATGCCGAAATCGTCAATTTCACTAAGGTTTTCGAACGATTTTGGCCTTCCAGCCTTTTCGGCTGTCCGACGTCCCAAGACGGTTCAATAGGCCCCCAAGAGCGCCCCAAGACGGCCCGAGAGGGCCCCAAGACGGCCCTAGAGTCGCCCAAGACAGCCCAACAGAGCCGTCTTCAGGCCCTCTTGGAGGCCTCTTGGGCTGTCTTGGGGCGTCCGCGGGGGGCCTGTGAGCCGTCGTGGAGCGTCGCAAAGCTGAAAAGGCGGGAAAGGCAAGATGTGTACAAAACCTTTGTACAATTAGCGATTTTGGCATCTTGGGGCCCTCTGGGGGTGCCTCTTGGAGGCCTCTTGGATCGTCTTGGGGGCCTCTTTGGCCGTCTTGGGCTTCTCTTGGCATCTTGGGGCCCTCTTGGCGCCCTCTTGGGCCTCTTGGAGCCTGCGTGGGCCTGTCGTGGAGCGCTCTTGGGCCGCCTGGGCTGCTCCCGGGAGGCTCCAGGCCTTCCCCGTCCCGCCATGGGGGGTCGAGGCACTTGTCCTGGGGCCCCCGGCCTCGCCCCTCCCGCTTGAAGAGTGCCCCAGGAGGCCCCAAGGAGCCCCCAAGAGGCCCCAGGAGGCCCCCAAGAGGCACCCAGGAGGCCCAAACGAGGCCTAAAGAGGCCACAAAACAGCCCCGAGGAGGCCCCACAACGGTCCCAAAACGGCTACCGAGAAGCTGCGAAACTGCCTTCACGACGTCCCCGACAGGCCAACCACGAGATCCAAACCAACACCCATGAGGCCTCTGACCCACCACCCAGGGCACTGTGGCGGGAGCAGTGACAGCACTTGTGCACAGCATGTTCCGGCGGGAGCCTTCCGGAACACGCTGCAGGGGGAGGAGGAAGATCAGGAGGAGAGAGAGCTGGAGTGGGAGGAGGAGGAGGAGGGGGACGAGGAGGAGGAAGGAGGAAGAGGCTCCAAGACAGCTCCAAGATAGCCGAAGAGGCTTCCAAGAGGGCCCTGGGCGGCCCACGAGGGCCCCAAGGCGGTGCCTGAGGCGCCCAAGAAGGCCCGAGAGGGCCCCAAGACGGCCCCAAGAGAGGCCCAAGAAGGGAAACACGAACTGAGAATCCGAGCTTTCTACCCCGAGAGGTTCTCGGGAAGTCCCAAGAGGCCCCCCAAGAAGCTCCCAAGAGGGCCGACGAGGTTCCAAGAGATCTCCCAAGGTGGCCCCAAGAGGCACAACTCATTGTTTTACGATTGGGCTTTGACGGGTTTGAATTTTTCTGCCTTTTGGCATCCCGATGCTCCAAGACGGCCCAAGAGGCTTCCAATACCGCTCCAATATAGAGGAAGAGGCCTCCAAGAGGGCCCCAAGACGGCCCGCGAGGGCCCCGAGACGGTGCTTGAGGCGCCCAAGACGGCCCGAGAGGGCCCCAAGAGCCCCAAGAGAGGCCCAAGACGGGGAACGCGACCCAACAGCAGAGCGTTCCCCCCAAAAGGCCCACATGAGGCCGCAAGAGGACCCCAAAAGCTTCCCGAAGGCCCAAAAGGCCCCAAGGAGACGTCCAAGAGGTTCCAAAATAGCCCAAGAGTGCCCTCGATGCGTCAAAACGGCTTCCAGGAGGCCCCCGGGAGGCTTCCGGATTGCCTCAATCTGGCCGCAGACGTGCACGACGCCCGGGCGCCCAGGGCGGCTGCCCCGAGGGGGCATGGGAGTACTGGGGCTCATTTTCCATGTGTTTTTAGAGGGTTTCCGCGTCCTGGGCCTCGGAGGCCGCCGCCTCCGACCCCCCGTGGGAGGACGGGGCGGCCGGGGAGGTCCAAAACAGTTCAGGAGGGCCTCCGGAGGCTCCCAAGACGGCCCAAGCGGGCCCCGAGTCGCCGAAAGACCGCTCCAGGACGCCCAAGATAGGCCCAAGACGGCCCGAGAGACCCCCCAAGGCACTCCACGACGCTTCAAGACGCCTCTCCACAGCGCTTCAAGAGGCCGAAATCGTCAATTTCACGGAGGTTTTCGAACGATTTTGGCCTTCCAGCCTTTTCGGCTGTCCGACTTTCCAAGACGGCTCAATAGGCCCCCAAGAGCGCCCCAAGACGGCCCAAGAGGGCCCCAAGACGGCCCCAGAGTCGCCCAAGACAGCCCAACAGAGTCCCAAGACAGCCCCAAGATGTGCCCAAGAGGGGGACCACGACTCCAACATTCGACCCTCCCGCTTGAAGAGTGCCCCAGGAGGCCCCAAGGAGCCCCCAAGAGGCCCTAGGAGGCCCCCAAGAGGCACCCAGGAGGCCCAAACGAGGCCTAAAGAGGCCACAAAACAGCCCCGAGGAGGCCCCACAACAGTCCCAAAACGGCTACCGAGAAGCTGCGAAACTGCCTTCACGACGTCCCCGACAGGCCAAGCACGAGATCCAAACCAACACCCATGAGGCCTCTGACCCACCACCCAGGGCACTGTGGCGGGAGCAGTGACAGCACTTGTGCACAGCATGTTCCGGCGGGAGCCTTCCGGAATACGTTGCAGGGGGAGGAGGAAGATCAGGAGGAGAGAGAGCTGGAGTGGGAGGAGGAGGAGGAGGGGACGAGGAGGAGGAAGAGGCCTCCAAGACAGCTCCAAGATAGCCAAAGAGGCTTCCAAGAGGGCCCTGGGCGGCCCACGAGGGCCCCGAGGCGGTGCCTGAGGCGCCCAAGAAGGCCCGAGAGGGCCCCAAGACGGCCCCAAGAGAGGCCCAAGAAGGGAAACACGAACTGAGAATCCGAGCTTTCTACCCCGAGAGGTTCTCGGGAAGTCCCAAGAGGCCCCCCAAGAAGCTCCCAAGAGGGCCGACGAGGTTCCAAGAGATCTCCCAAGGTGGCCCCAAGAGGCACAACTCATTGTTTTACGATTGGGCTTTGACGGGTTTGAATTTTTTCGGCCTTTTGGCATCCCGATGCTCCAAGACGGCCCAAGAGGCTTCCAATACCGCTCCAATATAGAGGAAGAGGCCTCCAAGAGGGCCCCAAGACGGCCCGCGAGGGCCCCAAGACGGTGCTTGAGGCGCCCAAGACGGCCCGAGAGGGCCCCAAGAGCCCCAAGAGAGGCCCAAGAAGGGGAACGCCACCCAACAGCAGAGCGTTCCCCCCGAAAGGCCCACATGAGGCCGCAAGAGGACCCCAAAAGCTTCCCGCGGGCCCAAAAGGCCCCTAGGAGACGTCCAAGAGGTTTCAAAACAGCCCAAGAGTGCCCTCGATGCATCAAAACTGCTTCCAGGAGGCCCCCGGGAGGCTTCCGGATTGCCTCAATCTGGCCGCAGGTGGCCTCAAGTCGGGCCTCCACGCAGCAAGGACGGCCAATGACGGCTTCAGATTACAGAACCGATGCCCCCAAGGGACCCGCAGACGCCCCCCCCAAGAGGCACCCAAGAGGTGCCTCCAACAGCCAGTTGACAAAGCATGCGGAACACCCCAGAAGCTCCTCAGATGCCGTCGCACGCCTGTGCTTGATAGCGTTGTCCAAGATCGTCCAGCGCCCCCCCGGCCTGGGCTAGAACTTGAGCGCGCGCGAAGCGCGCGATGGTTCTAGTATATATATATATATATATATGTATGTATGTATATGTGTGTATGTATGTATGTATGCATGCATGCATGCATGCATGCATGTAATGTAATGTAATGTAATATAATGTAATGTAATGTAATGTAATGTAATGCAATGCAATGCAATGCAATGCAATGCAATGCAATGCAATGCAATGTAATGTAATGTAATGTAATGTAATGTAATGTAATGTAATGTAATGTAATGTAATGTAATGTAATGTAATGTATGTATGCATGTCTGCATGTCTGCATGCATGTATGTAATGTATGTATGTATGTATGTATGTATGTATGTATGTATGTATGTATGCCTGTATGCCTGTATGCATGTATAGATGCTTGTATGCCTCTATGCATGCATGTATGCACTTATGTTTGTGTGTATGTATGTATGTATGTTTGCATGTAGGTATGTATGTATGTACGTATGGAATGGATGGTCGGATGGATGGATGGTCGGATGCATGGTTGGATGGATGGATGGATGGATGGATGGATGGATGGATGGATGGATGGATGGATGTGTGTACGTATGTGTATGCATATATTTTTAGACTCATGTGTTCCTCCTCGTATATGTTTAAAAGCGGTGGGACCCCCCCCCCGAAAAAAACGGGCCCCCCAGGCTCCGGGGTTTGCGGGCCACCGAACACCTTTGCCAAAGGTCCCCCGGCTCGTCCCGGACCTTCTGGGGCGGTTGGCCGGGTTTTGCTAACGGACCCCACGCGATCGGAGCGGTGATCAGAGAGGCCGAGAGGAGATCCAAGACAGCGCAAGAGCTCTCCAAGAAGGACCCGCCTCCAGAGGCCCCGAAGACGGCCCAGGAGGCCCTGAACAGCACTCCCAGAACGCAGAAATCGCTCCATTCCCTGTGGGAAATGTGCGTGTTCAACAGATTCGCAGTTCGGGTGTTGGCAGCGTCCAAAACAGCCAAAACGGCTTCCTGCATCGCCCCAAGACGGCCCAAGAGACCCCCAAGAGAGCCTTTAGATGGCCTGGATGGCCCCAAGGCTGCCCAATGAAGCCCCAAATGGACCAAGAAGAGGCCCAACAGGCCCTCACGAGGCCCCCGAGAGAGGCCCTGGGAGGCCCCCCAGAGAGGCCGTGGGCGGCCACAGGGAGGGCCCACGTGGCCCCCGTGAGGTCCCTGGAGGCCCCAAGCTCCCAAACGCGGCCCAAGATGGCCCCCAGGGATGGCTCGAAGGGGCGCCACGAGCGGGCCAATGTGCGGGCCTACGAAGGCTTTTCGTCGTCATTCATTGTCAGACATGTCTGCAAGCGTGCACGTACACACATGAATATATAGCCGTTGGCTTCTGGACAGCGCTCTTCGGTGCGGTGACACCGAAATTATTCGCCAGTTCCCGACCGCGCCATCTCTTTCCCTCTTCCTGCTCCTCCTCTGGGTCCTCCTCCTCCTCCTCTTCCTCCTCCTCCTCCTCCTGGTCTATCTGCCGCTCCATCACTCGTCTTCCCCCCACATCCCCTTCCCTCTCTTCGCTCCCCGAGATCCCCTCCCTCCTATCCTTCGCCCTCCACCCTGCGCCTTTCGGGAGCCACCAGAGGCGGGCCACGGACCGCCCGAAATTTCGAAGGTTTCCGAAAACCACCGCAGGGAAGCGGCCACATGTCCAAGGCCACAAGGCCACTAGTGATGGCGCTAACGACCAACATAAGCAAAGCCTCCAGGACCAAGGTGCATGGCGCGAAGCGCCCATGCAATCTTGTCTATATATAGAGATAGAGGGGATCCCGGGACTTCCTGTTTTCTTATGGGCCCCATTCGCTTGTCTCTGCCGCCCCACGTGCATCCTAAGGGCGTTCCTGGTCTCCGGATGTTCCCAGGCGAAGTCCAAAACAAAAATAACAAATCAAATTTGCCGCCCCCTGTCCTTCTTCTTACTTCGAGCCCGCCGCCTCGTTGAGCACAGCGCTGCCCCGCAGGTTCCGCTCGCGGTCCTCGCTGTTGGCTCAGCAGGAGCCCGCGCCGTGATCAGCGGGGGGCGGCAGGGTCCGGGGGAAAAGCGCTGGTGCAGGAGCTGGGGCACTTGTAAGGGTGAAGGGAGGGAGTGAGGAGGAGTACGATGGAGGGAGGGAGGGAGGGGGAGGGAGAAGGGAGGGAGGGTGAAGGGAGGGGGGGTGGAGTCAAAGGAGGGAAAACTAACCCATACTGCTGCCCGTCGGTCATGGAAAGTAGGTACTTTGGGGCCCTCAGATCCCAATCTACTTCAAGCGCCTTCCTACTTCAATATTCGATATGCTTTTGCTGTGCTTTGTTTTACTCTTGGAGGGCCTGAACCCGACGTACTCTGCCCGCCTTCCTCTTTCATGTCTTTACCTACTTCCGACCGGCGTGGACCCTTCCTTCGTTTTCCCTTGTTTGGGGCCTCCCAGGAGGCCCTGGTCGCCCTGGTTGGATTCGCCTCGAAGTTTTGGTCAGAACGCACCCCTGGAGAGGTCCGGGGAGTAGCGGCATCGGTACCTCTTGGTGTCCCCAGGGAGCGGCCTGGAGTGAGGGGCTCTCGCCTGGATGAGATGAGGGAAACAGACCTCGGGCGGTTGGTAGGGTCGGATAACAGACGCTCAGTGATTTAAACAGGGGGTGGAGTAAAGGGCCCAAGGGGGCCCCTTAGGCCCCCTTGGGGCCAAGAAGGGCCCCAACGTGCCCCTTCCGGGCCCCTTTTTTCACCACCCATTTAGGTCCCCCCCCGCCATCATCACCCGCTCGAGATCAAGGCACTTGCCGAGGTGCAGCGGAGCATGGCGCTTGTTTGCAGATCCTGCCTGCAGGCAGCAAGTTTGGTTGGCCATGCCTGCATGAGGATAGGGAAACATATCAATCGGCTCACCCCAACATATTGGAGAGGCCTGACGGCCGGTGCCGCCGACCCTGATCGAAAGGGCTAGGAGTGGGAGGAGGAGGAGGAGGAGGAGGAGGAGGAGGAGGAGGAGGAGGAGGAGGAGGAGGAGAGAAGGAGGAGGAAGGAGGAGGAGGAGGAGGAGGAGGAGGAGGAGGAGGAGGAGGAGGAGGAGGAGGAGGAGGAGGAGGAGGGGGAGAAACATATTAATGCTATGTGTGCGTCGCCCTACAGGGCGCAGCGCGTGCCAGGCAATCTTGTAGTATATGCCCGTGGTGGGCGCTTTCTGGCCGTACCGCTCGGGAAACGATACACTAACCTCCTCCCCCCCTCATCCTCATCCTCCTCTCCTCCTCCTCCTCCTCCTCCTCCCCTCCTCCCTCCTCCTCTTCCGTAGCCATTTTGGCTCAAGGGGCCTTCTCCTGAACTGCCCAACCTCGCTCGAGGCGCCTGGTGGCCAGGCACCAAGGCCGGGAGCGGACGCGCTCCCCTGGCCCCGCGGGGCCGCTCCCCCTCGGCTCGCCGCGGCCGCACCTTCCTCCCCTCCCTGGCCATGCCGTCAGAAGATAGCTGGCCTGAATCGATTGCCACCACTCCGCCAGCCTCCACTCCGCCTGCATCCCCTGGAGGTACGACTATGGAGGGAGTGAGGGACACCGAGAAGATCCTCGCTGCCATGCATGACATGATTGCTCCTCTGTCGTCGTCGGTCGCCAGCTTATCCAGTCAGTTGAATCGTGGGGTGCAAGAGATAAACCAACCGATCTCGGGAATCCAGGGTCAGGTGATCGCCGCCGAGAAGAATTTCCAGACACTTCAGCAGGCACACACAGAACTGGCAAAGCAGACAGCATCGAATTGCGAGCAGATGCGTGCGATCCACGAACAGGCCCTCTTGCAGTGCATCCAGGACCGTGAGACCGCTGAATCTGCCCTTCGGGATGAGCTCAATTGAATGATCCAGACGATGCGAGACGAGATCCTGGATATTCAGAAAGTCGTCGAGCTTGGGTCCCCGGCACCTCGTGGGGAAGAAGAAAGGCAAGTCCGTCGGAAGATTGAGTCTGGGCTTGTTGGGAACCCCTCGCGTCTGGTGGTTCTTGGATTTCCAAGGCCGCTGATGGAGAAACGCTCCGTGAAGCCGCCCAGAGCATCATCTCCCGCTGTGCTCCGTCCTCGTCTCAGGTTCGATCCATGTCAAGGCCTTCGATTGCAGTGAGAAAGTATTCCTGGACTTTGATTCCAACCTAGAGGCCGCCACGTTCCATGGGATGGCGTCGTCCGTGGGCGCGTTCCCTGTCCCGAACCCTGAGGGCGGTCCCGACTTACAGCTACGGGTCCGACGCGATCTTCCCCCCCTCTTCCAGAAAGTTGTTCTACCACCTCGGGAATATGCGACAGCATGTCTCCAGGATCTTCGGGGCGGACAAAGTGGGGTCCACGGGACTAGGAGGTGCAGTGTATGTGACGAAGGGGGAAGTCCAGTGGGTTTTGCTACTGAGTGCTCGTCCGCCCTCTCTGCCCAGTTTGATGTACTCCATGCAAGTGACAGTGCTCTATCCTTCTCGCCGCCTGCTGGGGGCGCTGGTGGTGTCTACCTTCCTGCCCGTCTTCTCTCTGCAGTTGGAACACGCGCGCGCTCTTCGCCTCTCTTTCGTCTCGCTCTGCTCGGTCACGTTCACGCTTCCTTCGGGCCAAGCAGCTGCTCTCACAGTATCAGATCATGTGTTTACAGGAGACGCACGGATCTGTAGCAGACTTGGTTATCCTTCTGGACGAAATGCGGACTGGGCAAATTGTTGGGAGCTTTCTGGAGGATCGAAATGCGGGGGGAGTGGTGACCTCCCTGCCTTCGGAACTCTGTGACTGTTTCGACTCGATTGCTCCGAGTACGGTCGTTCCTGGGCGAGTGTTACTTGTACATTGTCGGGGACCTCGGGGCGACTTGGTAGTGCATAATGTTCGTGCGCCTAACACGTGCGATGACGTTCGTATCTACCATCAGTACTTACGCCTCATCAATGCCGCTCTTCCTGCGGCAGCGCATACCATGGTTTTCATTCTGGGAGACTGGAACTTCTGTACGATGGAGGATGGTAGGTCTCTTGTATCTGGGGAGGTTGGGCCTGGGGACCGTCTGCAATGTGATGCGTTTCAGGAGCATTGTGGCCACTGGTGTGAATTGTACCAACCCGACCCGACCAGAAGGGATATTGTGAATCGGGAGCTGGGGGGGCTGGCCAGGTTAGATCGGGTTTATACGACCCTTCCTGCAGGTATTCTCAATGAGATGACCGCTGTTGTCAACGCTGTCGGCACCCTCATGCATCCAGGGGCCTCATCCGACCATTCCTGTGACAGCCACGGTTTCCCCCCCGACCCCGAAGGGTCGTTTCTCGGTTCCGAAATGGATCAGCCAGCATGCGAGGGTGAAAGAAGTTTTTGGCACGGCAGCTGTGGAATGTAAGAAGGCCCTTAAGTGTCGGCCAGCGGGCAACGACGCAGAACGGCTACACTTTGCATTCATGGCATACCGTGGGTGGAGGGGTCGGCAGTGGTATCTCCGTCTTCGTGCCATCCGTTGCTGCGCCTCTCTCATGCCTTTCTTCGACGTCGACGGCGGTGTGTGCGCTGACCCTGATGGCCTCCACAGTTTGGCACTGACCTTGAAGGGGCGCTTGTTCGATGCGGAATTGGAGGAGGTGGATCATAGTAACCAAGTGGAGGAGGTCAGGACCAAGAAGAGGAGGAGGCTGGTTGCTCTTAGACGCGGGTGGGATCTCATGGGGAGGAAGACTGGACTGCTAGGCGTTCTGGACGAGAGCGGGGCCCCGTGTGCCTCCCCAGAAGCGGCTTCTGCGGCACTGGTTGCCCATTGGAGTAAGGTCCTTGCACAGGCTGGTTACGACCCGACTCATTGGGAAGCAATACTGACCCATGTTCAGACTATTGGCGGCTGTACGACTGCCCCACGGTGGAAACTGGACGCGGATGAGTTTCGGGGCCGCGTCGACCATAAGTTTCATTCTGCTCCTGGCCCTGGCGGGATCACGTATGGGCGCTGGAAGGTCCCCGAGGCGACCGATGCTTTATTCGAGGTTTACGAGGAGGTTTTCAACAGTGTAGGAGGGGCTCTCCCCTCCGAGTGTCGGGTTAGTCGGATGGCGTTTCTCCCGAAAGGCAATGGCCCCAGGGATCGCAGCGACTTTGTCTCTCGTGCACCTGCCTCCATCCGCCCGCTCTGCCTGGCGAATGCGGATGCGAAGGTTCTCTCCGATGCCTTCTGTTTGGGACTCAACGACGTCGCTCCTGAGACGGTGGATGTCCCCCAGCGTGGTGGGGTTCGAGGGCGTGACATACTGGACAATGTCGTAGAAGTAGAAAACTGTGGCCTTATCCAACACATGTGTGGGAGGGAGAAGGCGGTGGTCCTGTTTGCCGACTTCAAGGCGGCGTTCCCTTCGATCCTGGCTGAGTGGATTTTTGCCGTTTTGGTGGCCACGGGGGTTCCCTGTGAGACCGTGGGCTTCTTCAAAGCCCTATGCGCCAACAACGCGGCCCTGGTATGCTTTGAGGGCGCTGCCGAAACAGCTTGCCCTGTGGAACGAGGTGTACGGCAGGGGGGTCCTGCGTCTATGACCCTCTTTGCATTGGCCTGTGGATCCGTGCCCGCCGTGTCGATCGGGTGGGCATCCAATTGGCGTGCGCTGATGACTGCTGCTTTGGTCTATGTGACATTCTCATCGATCTCATGCCCGCCTTGCTGCTTCTCGACTTGCTCTCTTCCGCGATTGGTCTCTCATTGAATGTGGGGAAATGCTGCGTCCTGATCTGCGGGGCGTTGAATGGAGATGCCCTCGCTGCTCACATGACTCGGAAAGGCAGCCGTTTCGCCTCAGTTCGTTTCGCCACCAGAGTTTTGCACCTCGGATTCTGGGTGGGCCCATCGGCCCATGAGGTGGCCTGGGTGGAAACGATGAAGAAATTCTGGCAGCGAGTTTGTCTTCTTCGCTCTCTCTCGCTGGGCTTGGCTACCACCATCCGCCTGTTCCACTCGAATTGCCTCTCAGTCCTGCAGTGTCGGATTCAGCTTGTGAGGGCCACCCCTGGGGTTCGGCGTCATTATAGGGAAGCATTGCATATACTAACAGCTGGACCTCGGCATGCATTGAACTACACTATGCTCACCCAGTTACGTGACCTTGGGATCTCAATAGAATTCGTGGACCTGGGACTGTACGATAAAGCTACGAAATTTCGGTATTAATGCGGTGCAAGGCATTAGATGTGGCGCTTTATGGGTTAGATTGCTTATCCAGTGGCTTGGCTGATGCTGAATTTCTTCCTGTCCGCATGATCTCTGGGTGGTGGTGCCATTCGATGATGCGCACGACGAATGAGGATGCCGCGGACCTCGCGAACTCTCCCATTGACCGAACTGCCCGACCTATCCAGGCCAAGGTCCATAGGCACTTACGGTCGGTTCGTATGGCGGCCACTCCCCTGTTGTGTCTGAGTGTACGTATATCCAGGTGGTTAGTTGCTGCATCTCTCGGGGGTCTGTTCCGCTTGCGGACAAGATTGCGCGCCGTGGAACGTGCCGCGTGCACCCATCTGGCTACCAACGGTCTCCGTGCACTGTCCAGGTGCGTTTGTGCTTCGGCGCGGTTTCATGCGAATGACCGTGGGTGCTGCGTTGGGCGCGTGGCCCCCGACGACCTTCACCATCATAAAGTCTGCGACCGATTCCGTGACCATGCACTGCACCGTCTCCCTGGGTTGGAAGCATTACCCACGCCGTGGAGGGAGATGTGGCAGCACCAAGACACTTGGCATACCTGTCTATGTCTGATGGGACCCTCCTGGGGGCTCGACCGCGACGTTGCCTGCGCTGCCTTCATCGATGCATTTCTTAAGACGCACGCCCATCATCGACGCTTGACACAGGTCCCCTTGTCCCAGGTTTTCGTGGCCCGATTGCGTCTTCTGGCTCGTCGGTAGACTGGTGTTGCACGACGGTTCAGGGCATGGCGTATTGGGCGGGCTGCCACGTGAAGGGATGTCGTCGGAGTGCACCTCGGCACCTCAAGGGTGAACGAAGATCGGCCTCCCGTTGTGCACTGGAGCCCAGTACATGCGCGGAGGGTAAGAGGGACACCGAGCAGATCCTTGACGCCATGCGTGACTTGATTGTGGCACGGCAGTTCTGGGCACAGTGTATTGGGCGGGCTGCCTCGTGAAGTGATGTCGTCTGAGTGTGACCGCCCCTCTCTCCCCACGCGCGTGTGCTCTAGTGCTTGCCTCTGTGTTCCCTTGCCTCTCCTGTCGCTTGCTGTCTTCCGTCTCCCTGCCTCTGCCGCTGCCCCCCCCTTGCACCGCCCCGCCGCTCCCTGCCGCCCCCGCCGCCCGCCCCGTCGACGGCCTGATCAACTGTGCCCGTTGCGCCTCTCTGGGAGGTAGGGTGCCTGCCTCTCGATTTTGTCTAGGCGCGTTTCGTGCCTGGGTTGTGGGTCGTGGTGACGGTGGCCTGGGTTGCAAGCGACCGAGGCTTGTGGGGCATGGACTGTGCCTTCCCCCGTCACCGAGTGCGCCCCCCCGCTGCCGAGGACTCTCGTTCGGGAGGATCGGTAGCGGGCAGCGCTGCCGCGCCCCGCCCCGCGCGCGAGGTACCTCGGTACCTCCCACGGGTGGGCGAAGATCGGCCACCCGTTGTGCACGGGCATCCAGTACCCTGTCCGTTCTCTCCCCTTCGCTGCCCCTCTGCTGCCGCTGCCCCCCCCTCCTGCACGATATGGATGGTGGCGGGCTTCGCCCGCAGCTGCTCACGGCATGCGGCCTGCTCAAAACTCCTCGCCCCCTCCTCCCCCCCCTTCCCCCCCCTTTCCCCTCCTCCTCCTCCTCCTCCCCCTCCTCCTCCTCCTCCTCCTCCTCCTCCTCCACCAGATGGATGTAATATACGTTTGGGTCGGTCGGGCGCACGCCTCCGAGAAGAGCACGTAGCACCCGTACGTCCTGTGAGCGTGGCGTTTGCTGGTCTGCCCGGCCTGCAAGCAGCATCCGGTTGGCCATGCAACCTCAACAGGTAAGGCAGTGCCTCACATTCTCCACAGCAGGCTTGCATCGGCCATAGCGTAGAATTTCTGATCGTGACGATGGTAGGTGAGAAGCACACAGCAATTTTCCCCTCCGCATTCTTGTCGTCTTATGATCCGAAGTTATGTCCTTTCCTTCTTCTTCTTCTCCTCGTAGTTATTTCCCTTCTCCTTCGTCCTTCGTCGGCATCAAACAGCTCCCGCTGTAATGGAATTTACAGGCATCGCGCACTCCTGCGCCGAGCTGTCCTTGACGATGTAATGGGAGTAGGAGATGTTTTTTTTCAGGAGGCGCCATCATCATAATCACCACCACCATCAACCATCTGCATCACTACCACCACACTCACCCCATCACCATAGTTTGGATTGCTTAGTAAGCGCGGGGGGGTACCCCCCGACGGGGGTCAACCTCGCCTCGTCGTCGCGACGCGACGGCGGTCGGAGCGCCTTCGGCGCGCGGTGGTTGCGCGCGACGGGGGTCGATGTGGGGCTGTCGGTGGTGGTGACGCCCCCCCGACGCTTATTCAAAAACTCGGAGTACGTGGTGATGATGGTGATGATCATACGATGGGCTACTCAAGTCCTCCTGCTGCTCCGGTTTTTCTGCCTCCTCTTCCTCCCCCCGCCTCATCTCGTGATGCGTGTTTGCAGCATTGTTGGCCGTGTGGCCTTCGAGGAATGTTCGCAGGACAGGTTTCACTGCATACGTTTGCCTATCTCGGATCGGATCGGGTGAGCGTCCCGATTTGCCTGGCAACGTTTTGCTTCGCACAGCGGGGAGTTATTTGATTCATCCTGCGTGTCGGCTCCCTCTCCTTCCCTCTCCTGCGTTCTTTTTCCTTGAGGCCTCGAGAAGATATAGTATTTTAAACCACGCCACCTTGTGTAGTCAAAACAGTGTACAGCTTCTGTTGAGATGCTTTGCAGAAAACAGTGAGCCCATCTCCACCACCATCATGACCACAATCATCAGCATCGTCACCAACTGCATCACAACCATCACATCACGATCGATACCACCACCACCGTTATCATCACTATCAGCACATGTCCATCGCCATAAACACCGCCATTATCATCGTCACAACCACCATCACCGTCATCATGATCATCATCATCATCATCATAATCAGCATCATCATCATCATCATGGTCATCTTCATTTGCATCATCATCATCATCATCATCATCATCATCATCATCATCATCATCATCATCATTATCATCATTATCATTATCATCATCATCATCATGATCATCATCATCATCATCATCATCATCATCATCATCATCATCATCATCATCAGTATCGTCGTCGTCGTCATCAGCCGCGCGGCGGGTGTGCCTCCAGGAGTTGGACCCCCAGAGCCTTGAGGAGGCGGTCCAGGGCTGGCTCGTCGGCGCCCGGCCGCAGCGCCCTCTGGACGTGTCTCGGCGGCGGCAGCAGGGGCGAGACAGCTTGGGCGCTGAAGTACGAATCGCTTCGGGTTCGGAAGGGGCTCGCTGTGCTTTGGGCCAGTACACGCCGGTCGCTGAAGGTGGGTATCTTTGGGGCTCCCAGATCCCAATATATTTCAGGCGTCTTCCTACTGCAAGAATCCATGCACTTTTGCTGCGTTGTGTTTTTTGCCTGGGAGGTCCTGGGCCCAGTCTACTTTATATGCCTTCCTACTTCATGTTGCCGACGTGTACGTGGTTGTTCCTCTAGCCCTCCTCGTGCCATCGGGCGCTTTCGGTGCCAAAAAAGGGGCCTCGTTCCCTATTTCTCGCTGCTTGTTTCAGCAGCTCGACTGCAGCCCAGGGCGGGATGTATTACATCATGTGAGGCGGTCCAATAATACGGGTAAGCGCAAACGTGGATTCTAGGGCGTGGATTAGAGACGGGTCGCGATTCCATACAACATCGGCATGCTCCGTCGCCAATGCTGCGGCACCTGCGTCATGGTCGTTTGTTCCCAACCATCCAGTGGTGTTGGGTCTTCGTTTTGGAGAGACGGTCCCCGCGTTTTCCTCCTTTGTTCCTTCCTGCCGTCCTCCTCCTCCTCCCCCTCCTCACTCTTTTCGTGGCCCCATAGGGAGCTCCACCGAAGGCCCCAGTGGGACCGCCCGCATGCGTCATCCACCACCCAGAACAGCACTCCGGGGCCCCATAGAGAGCTCCACCGAAGGCTTTAGTGGGACCGCTCGCATGCGTCATCCACCATCCAGTACAGCGTTTCGTCGCCCCATAGAGGGCTCCACCGAAGGCCCCAGTGGGACCGCCCGCATGCGGCATCCACTACCCGGCACAGCGTTTCGTGCCCCCCTATAAGAATCCCCGCGACGCGCGCTAGTCGCCCCGAAGGGGTCCTTGAAATGCGCGCAGGTCGTCCGCTGCGCGGAGCAGAGAGAGCGAGCAGGCTGGCTCCCGCCTGGGGTGCGCGGCCCGAAAGCGGCTTCAATACGTCGAATACGACGAAAAACCTCCGAACATCGAAAGTCGCCGCCATGCGAACTCCGCCACTGGGCCGCCATGCGAGTTCCGCCACGGAGATCTTTGGTGGAACTCCCTGTGGGGACACGGAACGATGTACTGGGTGGTGGATGACGCATGCGGGGGCGGTCCCACTGGGGCCTTCGGTGGAGCCCCTTATGGGGCCACGAAGCGCTGTGCTGGGTGGTGGATGACGCGCGCGGGCATTCCCACTGGAGCCTTCGGTGGAGCTCCCTATGGGGTCATGAAGCGCTGTACTGGGTGGTGGATGACGCGCGCGGGCATTCCCACCGGAGCCTTTGGTGGAGCTCCCTATGGGGCCACGAAATGATGTACTGGGTGTGGGATGACACATGCGGGTGGTGGCTCTGGGGCCTTCGGTGGACCTCCATATGGGGCCACGAAACGATGCACTGGGTGGTGGATGACGCGCGCGGGCGGTCCAGCTGGAGCTTTCGGTGGAGCTCCCTATGGGGTCACGAAACGCTGTTCTGGGTGGTAGATGACGTGCGCGGGCGGTCCCACTAGGGCCTTCGGTGGAGCTCTTTTTGGGGTCACGAAGCGTAGTACGGGATGGTGGATGCCGCATGCGGGCGGTCCAACTGGGGCCTTCGGTGGAGTCCCCTATGGGGCTACGAAGCGCTGTAGTTGGTGGTGGATGACGCGCGCGGGCATTCCCACTGGGGCCTTCGATGGAGCCCTTAGTGGGGCCCCGAAGTGCTGTATTGGGTGGTGGATGATGCATACGGGCGGTCCCACAGGAGCCTTCGGTGGAGCTCCGTATGGGGCCTTGAAATGGTGTGCCCGGTGGTTGATGACGAATGCGGGCGGTCCCGTTGGAGCCTTCGGCCCCCTATGGGACCACGAAATGATGTATTTGGTGGTGGATGGCGCATGCGGGCGGTCCCAGTGGGGCCGTCGGTGGAGCTCCTTATGGAGCCACGAAGCGCTGTACGGGGTGGTGGATGACGCACGCGGGCGGTCCCACTGAGGCCTTCGGTGGAAAGGGTTACATTCATATATCTATTGTCGCAGAGCAGATCTCATATCCAGCGGACTACTATTTGGAGCGCGTGGGATTCCAAAGTGGTTGTGTTTCGTAACAGAGCATGTACCAGATCGAAAGGGTTCCCGTTGGATTGTGCCAGGGCGCCACAGCATGTCACTCGGAATGGAGTAGGCCCCAGACCCAAACTATGCCGACGGCGTACGAGTATGACCTATAACGAGACTTATTCCGCCAATGATAACACAGTTTAACGTGAACGTAACTTACCTTTGCCTCATCCATTTGTAGCCGTGTAGGAGAGATCGGGAGGGGCGAGACGGAGAGAGAGAGAGAGAGAGAAAAAGAGAACGAGAGAGACATCGCGTGATCTATGCATCGATAGAGGGGGACAGAAAGGCAGAGATAGGATACATAATTAGACAGAGGGAGAGGGATAGATATAGCGTCCTGGAGAGTTGTATTCTTCCTGGAGAGTGTGTGCGTGCGCACACACATATATAAATATATGTATATGTATATATATATATATATGTATATATATATATATATATATATATATATATACATATACATATACATCTGTATATATATACATGTACAATCGGTTACGTCAGGGTGAGGGGGCCGAGCGGTCATTCATTGTCCCTGGGTGCGTGGCTGAAGTGGGATTTCGCGGTGCGGATTATCGTTGTTGTTTGTTGTTGTTTGCTGGTATGGTTGTTGTTGTTGTTGTTGTTGTGGTTGTGGTTGTTGTTGTTGTTGTTGCTGCTGTTGTTGTTGTTGTTGTTGTTGTTGTTGTTGTTGTTGTTGTTTGTTGTCGTCGTCCCACCCGCAATCCGCCCCGCGACCCACCCGCGACCCACCCCGCGACCCACCCCGCGACCCACCCGCGACCCACCCGCGACCCACCCGCGACCCACCCCGCGACCCACCCCGCGACCCACCCCGCGACCCACGACCCGCGACCCACCCCGCGACCCACCCCGCGACCCACCCGCGACCCCCGCGACCCACCCCGCGACCCGCCCGCGGCCCACCGCGACCCACCCGCGACCCACCCGCGACCCACCCGCGACCCACCCCGCGACCCACCCGCGACCCACTTTCGACCCAAACCACGTTCAAGGTACAAATCACCATTTTCGGCGCCTGCGGCGGTTTTTTTTTTTGCATTCCTTCCAGGTGGAGAGCCCGCGACCCACCCCGCCACCAACTCGCGACCAACCAGCGACCCAAACCACGTTCAGGGTACAAACCACATTTTTCGGCGCCTGCGGCGGGCATCTGTTGCATTCGTTTCAGGTGGAGAGCCCGCGGCCCACCCGCGACCACCATCAGGGTACATACCAATTTTTTCGGGGCCTGCGGTGGGCATCTTTTGCCTTCGTCCCCGGTGGAGAACCCGCGGCCCACCCGCGACCCATTCCACGTTCAGTGTGCAAACCAATTTTTTCGGTGCCTGCGGCGGGCTGCTTTTGCATTCCTTCCAGGTGGAGGTGGAGAGCACGCGACCCACCCGCGACCCAAACCACGTTCTTTGAACAAACCAATGCCGCACAAACGCGGCGGCGGATTTTTGCATGCCGTCTGCGCCCGCAACGACCTCTTCAAGCCCCGCGCATCCACACCAGCCCGTCCAGCAGCTTTGCCCTGGCGGGTTGCCTTGATCAGAGAAGTCGGGGAGCATAAAGTGGAAAAGAGGATTGCGTTGCCGTTATCTTGGGAAAAAGGAGGGGGAGGCAGGAGGAGTAAACAGGGGACGAGAAGGACGCGAAAGAAGAGAGGATGTAAGGAAAATGTGGAGAAAGAGGAGGAGGAGGAGGAGGAGCAGCAGGAGGACGAGGAGGGGGAGGAGGGGGAGGACGAGGACGAGGAGGGGGAGGAGGGGGAGGAAGGGGATGATGATGATGATGATGATGATGATGATGATGATGATGATGATGATGATGGAGGCCGATAAGGGGGTGGACGACAATGGGAGGACGATGATGGAAGGACGAGGGGGGAGAGGGAGGACGAGGAAGAAGAGCAGGACGAGGTGGAGGAGGAGAATGACGATGACGACGAGGACGAGGACGAGGACGAGGAAGAGGAGGAGGAGGAGGAGGACGACGACGACGAGGAGGACGAGGAGGAGGAGGAGGAGAGCGCCATCGACAGGGAAGGTGGGGGCCACGAGGTCCGCCGGCTCGACGACGTCCGCGTCGCCCGCGCCCGCCCCCTCACTCTTATCCGCAATTGCGGGGTGCTATGTATATTTATATGTGTGTGCATGTACATCGTGGTATAGATTTCGGGAGGGGAACGTGGTTGCCTTTTTCTTCCACCGCTTGGCGCCCTCCCCTTCGTCATACTGGCCCTTCATCGTCGTTATCTCTCTCTCCCGCCCCACACGACCATACCGTGTCTTCTTCGTTGTTAGTTTGTCGTCCTTCTTCTCGTGCTCATCTTCCTCTTCCGCTTTCCGCCCGGACTCTCGGGCATTCGAGCACGATTTCTGAGTGGTTCCAGTGGGACAGGAGCAGATCCCATCGGTCGGATCGGAGCAGACATCAGATCCAGAGGAATCCGAACGGATACGAAGCGGACATCAACATGATCCCAGTAGGATTCGAACATACATCAAATGCAAACGTTTTTTATTGGATGTGGATCGGACGTTATTTGGCTTCACGAGGTATGTCGCAGACCGTTGATCGAGAAGAGGCTTTCTGGATCTCCTCAGGTTCGCACAGTGAAATTCTCAGGACTGGGCCATATGCTAGATCCAACTCTTACCTTTATATACCAAATCATAACTGAAGATATCCCGATCGTTTTGGAATTGAGCTGCAAATGGGTTTCAAGAGGACCGGGGGGCACTGCCGATATCCAGTTGTTTCTGATTGTGCTCGACCATAGCTGCACCCTTCTCCATC